GGGGGGGGGGGAGGCGCTCTCGAAAAAGTATTTTCGTTTAGTAAGCAATCATACATCTTGACTCTGTCAACCTTGATGAGGTAAGTGAGGGACATCTGGTGTACGGTTCTCGCGTTAGATCAGCCATTGTTTCCATCTGGCCGGGGCCTTAAGCTTTGTCACAGCGGTTTCTATCATGCCGTGGCACACACACCCCTTAAATAAAAAGCCACGATAAAGTTACTCACCTGTAGGAGTACTTGTAGGGACATGGCAACTCTTTTTCGGCTGAAATTCTCCCAATTTTGCTGGCTGACGTTCCATAATGTAGTCAAAGGTTTGTGAGGGTTCACTGACTTGTCTCTCTATGATGAACGAAGAAGAGAGTATTATTAATTATTTCAAATATGGAACTCATCACCCCCTCAACGATATTTATAACTTTGCGCCACGAGGGCTTCTGCATTATATCAGGAGCAATCAGCTCTCCAAGGTCACAAGAAAAATTTTCTCAAACTGTTGACAACTTCACCTAAAAGTAAGGACCACTCGCGATTGAGTTGGTAGAAAACGTAACATGGAAGGTGTATGCGGTACTACATAACGAGTTAGAAGAACGAACAGACTCTGAGGAAAACTCGGAAGCTGATTGAAAAGTCTATTCATTGAAAGCCTTACAAGAAAACTTACCGTTTCCAATGATCCCAAATTTGACAGTGACACAGTCTTGAACTTCACTGTCTTCTGTTCGAATATAAAACAACCGCCATGATGGGATTTTAAGTGCCGCGCTAATTTTCTTTGTAAAGTTCACTCTATGAAAAAAGAAAATATAAACTTTTCAGTTAACTTTGGTCTTGCTGAATGAGACTAAGTCTGTGTTGTTCAACGAAATGCATGGAAAGAAAAAAAAAGAAATTTTCAATTTACCATTTAACCAAGTATTTGGTATTTAATCCCAAATCATACTTTTGCCTTACCTGGAAAATGTAGCTCCCTTGACATATTTCAGTGTTTTCTCTACGTACAACGAAGAAACTGGTGTAATAGAAGCACAGGCTAAGCGGGCACCCCCAGCGTTTTCTGCATGAACCACAACTCCACGACCAATTACTATAAATGAATGTATGTATACCGTGCAAGTTAATAGATCGCTTTTGTCATTTCAGGCGCTCGTCATTGGATATAGTTTTTTCGGACAGAAGCCAAGACGTTGAAGGTTTACTCTAAAACTGGAAAAGTAGTTTAGCGTAGTTTTCTTAAGCTTTGATTTGTTCAGTTTCTAAAACAAAAAACTCAAAATCGATAGAAGTTTTCCAGGCTTAACTCATGCTGATTTGATAAAACTTAAAGGCAATTTTCTTTTACGGTGTAACAATTATGGTTTTCTTACCTGACATTTCTCCAAACAAGGGAAGGTCAGGATCGGTATAAAAACTCTGTCCTGTTCCGACGTTCAGCATCGCATGTTTGCCGGAAAGGTCGCCAACTTCACACCGCAGCATATTACTAGAGAAGCATGTGGACTTGTAAGTTCCCTGGAAAATGGAAAAGGAAAAGGAAAAGGAAAAAAGACACAGCTATATTACTTGAGTGTTATTTTGAAAGATTTAGAAACCTGGCATGAACTCGTGTTCTAGAATTCTGCTGCGTAGAAATGCTGTCTTTGACTTATATACTTACTTCCAAATCTACTTCATAAGGGTTGTAATGTCCTCCCAAACTTTTACACCTTTCACCCATTGCTGCATAAGTGTCACCCCCTTCTGGTTTTACATGGACGTGCCACTCGTGATTCAAGCTCTGATTGGTAAAAAAAAAAAAACGTCAACCGTGTTATCGTTAGTGACGGATTCGAGGTTTGATAACATATCAATAATACAGCTAACAAATTGAAATTCATTCGAGTCAATCAGGGAAAAAAGGTGGTTGCATTGTGGTTGCTCATCAGGGAATGAATAAAATGATATCTGCATTAAAAGGACATACCTTTTGGCTGGAGTTTGAAACGTATTTAAGATCAACGTAAATTGAGGTTTCCTCGGGCATCATAGAATTCTCATTCTCCTTGTATTGGATCTGAATGGAAACAATTGAAGTTGTGCTTGTTGATTATAGGAAAAAAGCCGTGACTTGCAAAAAGGAAAGGCTGACAGAAATATATGCTGAAACAGCATTTAGTGAAACAACCATTAGTGAAATTTCCTATCCACGTTCTATCCATGTGACCTGAATACCGTACAGTCGTCCGGCTCTAGGATAGCATGCAGTTTTATTGCAGAGTACGCTAGGATATTGTTGCCATCATATTCTCTTATTGAAAGTTAGACAGTCTAGAACCGCAAAAATTATTCTTACATATTTACTATTTATTTGTAGAAGTGACTTACCAACAGAATGTACCCCTTAAGGGAAGGTCCTGTGAAAGTTATCTTAGATTTCATCTCAAACATGTCTCCCCCTTCCATCACCTGGCGCACATCTGCACACACCCATCTCAAGCCTTTCATCGTCTTCATTTTGTGGATTACAATAGATCGGCCATGGATGCTGTTCTTTCCAAATAAAGGCAGATTGTAGTCAATGTGCTCTCCGCTGTAACTCGTAAGGTTAAGTAGTGATCCATATTTTCCACTCAGGTCTCCGATCTCGTATTCATCATCGGTGCCTAGGAGTTTAATTTGTGGGAAAAAGTGGTGATGAGTGGGTCTTGTGGGTGGTAAGGATTTTACTTATTACAAAAATACACAAAACTGAAGAAGGGGTTTTGCAGAACTTAAAGAAGCACTGTTTTGGCAGTAGGTTCAAATTTCCCACCCAGTTACCACACTATCGAGTAAATGATAAGATATTAAATATCGAAAGTTATAATTAAAAATAGGTAGAGAAACTATTTTTCGTGAACACATTATGGTGTCGGGGAATTACGGCAATAAGTTTGCTTAAGAATGAAAAAGAGTTGAAATAAACCCTACCACTTCCAGGAGGAGGACTGGAACTAGTATCAATACCAAATGGATTCCAGTGCCCACCCAGGTAACCTCCAGCACAGGATTCCATACCGGTGTACTGCATTTGCCTTGGACTGGGATAGTTGTGGACGTGGTATCCTTGTGACTCTTTCCTAAGACCAGTAAGGTTGACTTCTGTTGTAGAAGGATCGAAAGGAGACGGCTGAGTAATCTTGAGGTATCCACCTACACCATCGTGGATTTTTGGATCGAACGAAGCTTTGACAACCTTTGGTTTCACTTTCATGATTTTGGCGCAAGCAAAAGGTTTCTGTGTGTCATTGCCTGAGAACAAAACAATTACTTTACCAACAACACTTTTGGCGCCACTAAGGGGTAGGTTGGAGTCTGTGAAGGCAGCCTTGGTTTTAGATTGGTTTTTCGTCGCCATGGATAGCATGATGTTGCCATGTTTGGACTTTAAATCGCCAATAGAACAATTGTTCTGCATTGTCTGGTTGCAGCTGCTGTTATCTTTACCATCAGGATTGAATAGTGTGCTTGCTGTTTCACACGAAGCTGAATCTTGAATTTGCCAAGTAAACATCTCTTCGGATGTGGCGTCGTTGACGTAGAAAAGATTGACAAAGACACTGGTGTCCGAGTTTACGTCTACTTGTCTCAAAAACACAACACCTGCTATAGGAGCCTTGAAAGCAGCTACAGCTGTCAACATAGGCCTTGTTGGAGTGATGAGGGCACATGCTGTGGGTGTTTCCCCACTGTACAACACAAGTGTCCTGCCCATGATGCTGTGAGGGCCTTTTATTGGAATCTTCAAACTTTGATTTGTGAAATTTTGCTGTGATGAATCGGCATCAAGATTTCCAAGCAATCCCGTCAGGTCTCCAAATGCGCATGCTCCGAACCTTGCTGTATTTTGTAAACTGCACGAATTTTTGTAGTCCCCAGCTTCCATAGCCATTCCAGGATCAAAAACTGCTCCCACTGCACTGCAACTCATGGCCGCGTTACCGTCGTAGATCATAGGCAGTTGATGAATGCGCCATGCCAGAGTCTCGTTAATGCCTGTTAAGTTAACCATGACACTTGTGGGGCCGTCATATTGTGATCGCGAAAAGATGACGTACCCTTTTATTCCGCTCATACTGAAAACTGCTTTGAGCTGATGATCAGAGGCCACTGTAGACTGAAGGATACATCCTGTAAGGCAAAGAGTAATTTAGATAATCTAGTCCTCTAATCAACATTCTTTTCATTTGATGTCTTTCGATAACGCTCAAATTTCATCTGGATCTTACCGCTGTCTTTTGTAACATCAATTTATAGACATGCCGAAGTAAGTCTTAATTTAGAACTGGTATATCTCGAAAACATAGTAAGATCTATGACGTCACGAGAGGGTTGGAGATGAAGTACCGTTATATTGACCATTAGTCCTTTTCCTTTAAAGAAGAAATCATAAATCTGCGCATGCTCTTTTTCAGGATGTGTTTACTCGTCAGTATCGTTTACTGAAAGGCTGATATTCACACTTGATACGTGATGAACGGTTTGTTTATCAACGAGGACACTAGCTTTATGGCGCGTGATCATCAGGCAGCCTCATCTAATTTTCTTTCATTCGCCCACATGAAATGACGATAAATGGCAAATGGTAATGAGTTATCATTAGATTTCTTTTGAATATTGTTTCTCTATTTCGAATAATGAGCGTTCTTTGGTGGGGGTCTCGCGGCTTCTAAAAGAACTTTACATAAAACGTTTTCCTTGTCGTTACGGATGATTAACCAGTTAATAAGTCATACTCATATTCTTCCTTAGGGCTTAGGACGTTAACTGCTGTCGCGTCCGTTTAGCAGGAGAAATGTAAATTACGATTATGAACATCTAAGTAGCTAATAGTTGGACATATATAACTAAATGGTTAATGAAATTTGAATAAATAAGTTAATAAATAGATAAATGAGCCACAAATGAATGATGAAGGACAACAAACAGTTTTTATGACCACCAATCATCATGCTTTAGTCTTCCAATTGCAAGATAAGGAAATTTAGAGAACGTGTAGCAGCTAAGTCTAAGACCAATCGCACCACTGACTAGTCTATTGGAACTCTACCTCAAGGGGTCATTGAAGGGAAACATGCTTGAATTATAATAGTTTTCTCCTGTGAATGTAAAATGTATTCCGGCCATATGACCCTTCAAACTGAAGTTTGCTTATCCAAAGGAGCGTTATAATCGATTACAGAATGGTGGAAACGTCTCAAGGACTTAGACTACGTTTATATAAGAAAAACAATGGTAAGGCTCTCTTACTGAAAACGTTTACAGTCAGCTTTTCCGGTCTTAAGGGAGACAAATACCTATGTCATGACAGAGTAAGTGAAAGGGTATATTTACATCTTTTGTTAAAGATGCTCAATTGCAAATCATTAATCACTAATTCCTTAATCTTCATTCCAGAAATAACACTTCGTGTGTAAAAAAAAAAACGAAATGAAAACGAAAAACGAAATCATATGCCAGCTTGTTTCATGAAGCTTTTAAGTACTTTCTTTTGTTGCGTGTTAGATCAAACGGATGTAGCTTTTCGATGCATATTTGCATCAGTCAGAGCATTTCCTGTCTAAAAGGAACCTTTAAGCTGACGTGGAAGACAAAATGATCGTAAGCGATTGACTGGATATATTGTTTTCAAAACATTTTACAGACGACAGAATACAAAAAAATAGGTAACAGCAAGCTAATCAATGTCTCGTGTTAAAATTGTGTTATAATGAGTCCGAACGAAGTTTACTCGTTACAAACAACCGCCAAAGAATTATAACCACTTCCGAAAATGCTGTTTCAAATGAAGTGCACATTTAGTCCCGTGAACATCAGATGAATCGCTTACATCTATCAATGACTGTATATAGCTGCATGGCTTTTTGAGCCATCGCACGATTTAGAATGGAGCGGAAATAAAAGACAGAATTTTCTGCAAACGGTTTTTTGAACCACTATAACACTACTTGGTCTTCTCTTAAACTGTAATTGTTGCAAATCGAATGCAGAACTCAGAACACTGAGAGTCTACGCTTATTTTTTGGAATAAAAAAAACCTTTTTGGATCACAATTTGGTCAAATCATGTAGTTCAGGAATATTCTTTCACTTTTGTGTCTCTTGATACGGTGAGACAAGAACTCACTAGTTACTTGGGGCATCGAAACCGCAGAAAGGCAGCAGAAAATTAGGAACTAAACGTATCCACTATTGTGTAAAAAGGAGAATAAATTTGATGAAAATTTTACTCACCAGTGGACAAAAGTACGATCAAATACTTCGTTATCAATGTAGAAGGCATAGCGGAACTCACAAGGGGCTTATGATACACCGAAGGCATAAAGCTTAGGCTGCGGCCTCACCCTTTGCTGTCTCAAATCAACTGTGTTCTACGTGAGAGTGTGCAGTGCTTTTGAGTCGTTTGCTAATTCTTATTTCAGGTTGATTAAAGCTGGGTAATTTATTATCCCGAGAGTTCATTTGCTGATAAAAGGTAATTATCGCTAGAGGCAAACAAACAAAAGTACTAAACACGTCATACAAGTATTTTTAACGCCATAATTTTTCTCAACAATGCTGAAGCTGAATTACGTTAGGAAACAAAATTAATAAGCAGTGCTTTCTAATATCGTCTGTTATGAGGAAAAAAAAAGAAGAAGAAAAAATCACGCAATTTAGTAATTGATGATAGTTCTTACCATTTGTTCCTATTTCGCAAACGTTTTTTTCTCGGATTAAATGGAAACAAAAAGAAGAAGAGTTAACCAGCTGTCAAAATTCATGCCATGCGCCACATATTTAGCATAGAGAGGAAGAAAAATGATTTAGATTTCAATTGTTTTTATTTCCCCTCTTAAAACAAAAGTGAATTGACATGAACAGGCATGTCATGCAGGGAGGTTCTTTAATTATTCTAAAGGAAAAATGTTACAAATTCTTGAAAACTTCTGGGGGGAATCAAAGTTTTGCGGTTGTTTCTTGTTCGTGTAAAATACAGTTCTTAAAGTAACACTTTCTTTAGTAATAATGGAGATATCGAGTAAAAATATTGGACTCCACTTGATTTGCCGACAGATCTAATGAAATATCACGCGGACTTAAAATATCGTATCACGCAAATTGTGCATCAACTGAGGCCGACTGAATGAATAAGTCTACGCTAAACGAAATGGGAGAATTGAAATCTGTATTGTCATGAGAAGATCAAGTGTTAATAGTGTCGACATTCTCTTGTTATGGCGTATGAACCTTAAAAAAACTATAAAAATGCGCTAATTGATTGAAAAGTTAGTGAACTGACCTTTAATAGACTTAAGAAATTTTTCTTTGAGATTGCGGCAGACAAGAGTCAGAAGCTGCAGATATGACGGTTTACATCACGGACTGACTTTGGGAAAATGGTGAAAACTGTTTGCACTCACTAATGTGATAAGTTCCCGCCACTGAATAGTTACCTGATAGGCTTTCAACATTCTTATATGAGAAAAATCATGAGATTTAAGCTACCGAATGAATTAATCTGCTAACTTGTCAAAACAAGACTGACTAAACATTTGCGCTAACTAAGCAGTATCCTCATCAGTCCCAACCAAAGCACTAGGGAAAAGCAACTTCCGTGCAGTATTTGAAGAATTGTGGAAGTGCCACTCAATCTCGCAAAATCACGAAAGGATGTGATGCTATTAAATATCAAAATCGAAGCAATTGGTACGAGACTGTTATGTAAATCAGATTCTAGTGTGTTCTTTTTTAGCTTTAACAATGTTAAGTCCAATCCTACAAACTATCATTGCCGAATAAGCCTCCGGCAATGAATAAGCGGCAGATCACGTCTTATTTTTAACTTTGTCTAATTAGCCTATTCAAGAAAGTACCGTCTTTGCTAACACACAGTTTCCTCCAGCTTCTTTGAATTAAAGCGGTCTAATATTAAAAATTTCACCCACTCGGAAATACCGATTCATTGCATTTGAAGTGCTTGACGCAAATGAAAGAATTAATTTCTGGGAAATTAATTTTGTCGACAGGAGAGAGTTTTTAGGTTTAATGTTCTAGACTGAAACTTTTTGTTTACTTGCTTTTTTTTTTTTTTTTAAGATCGAGTTGTCTCTAGAAACAGTCCCATCGATATTCATCGAAGCATCACTGTTCCTCGAGTGCCCAAGGAGACAGCATTTTTTTTTTTCAGATTGATGAGGCGCTCAAATGTTATCTTTGCGGTAAACAAAGCACTCGAAAGTTCGCGTGATCTTCCCATTAAACCGGACTTACTTGAAGCCAGACTTTGAACCACAAGCAAACATAGGTAGCAGACTAATTAGTTTAAGACAGTTCTTGCCACGTCAACGCCAAATGCGGGCGCAGTATCGAACGTTTTGCAGGGCCAGGTCTGTAAAGTTTTAATTTTTATTTCAGCGTAGTAAACGAGCGTCAAATATATGTTTAACATTAAGAACTGCATCACGAGGCTATTTTTTATATTTGTCATTTTAAGATCAATAAAGGTAAGAGACAGCTCAGTGATTGGGGTGTATGAGGCGGAAGAAGATATACAAGAAATTCATGTCCTTCAGTTTTTGTCCTTATATTTGCGACAGTCTTGTTCCTTGTGCCAGTCTAAGCACACGCTTTTCAGAGCTTTGAAGTTAGTAGTATATTTAGCATTAATGAAATCTTTTGATTTCTTCCCTGATTAAATCAAACAGTCCCAAGTCAAGGTCGCCTGATCTAATCAAATAGAAAGAGGTTACGAAATATCAGAGTTCTCAGGAAAATGGTGGTGAATTTCAATCTACCCAGAAGTGTCGATCCGTCTCAAATCTAAATTGTTACAACGTGGGCTGATGATGCAGCTGGAAGACAATGCTTTGTTTACCGATTGACGTAATTTCGTATGTTTTGACCAGTTTTAAAAGAAACTTAGTTGCTTTGCAGATAGCACAGGAAAAATGAAACACCGTTTCATTATCTCTAACAAAATTGCTGACAGTTCTGTTATGGGAAAAGCTCTCGAATTGTTCGATAAATTTTTGATCGTTTGGTTTGTTCATTTTGAAGTAAGCAAACTCATAAAGACGTTTTATTCCTTAGAAGCTCTTTCACACAAAGTATTAATTCATTTTCTATAATGAGGAAAATGACATAACAGGAGTGTATGATAACATGATGTTGTAACAAGAGCCTCCCATTAAAGATATTATTTCATATTTATGTATTCCTCAATTTGTACGCCTCCACATTTGTGAATTCTCGGAGAAGTTAAGTTTGCGTTGACTATCGTTAATCGACATTGTTTACGACTGCGAGAAATTGCTAGAAAGGGCTCTAGGGCATTAAACATGAATACAAAGAGAACCGGATTTAAAAATTTCCATAAAATCGCTAGCCTGTATTTCGTTACTGTGATTGTTTCAGTTCAGTATAACACCGGCTGTATCAGCTG